AGATAGATGTGACGAAGTACTCACTCTTCAGTCAGTAAGGAAAGACTGAAGAGGGAGGACGCAATCTGAAGTCCTTATATACTATAGAGAAGTGTCCATGACTAATGGAAGGGTGGTTAGTCACATGTACCATAGTGCGATGAATAATACAATGGTGAAAGAATTGCGACGTATCGCACCATAGGCTGAGTAAGAGATGAGTAAGGCATAGACCTGTCTAGACCGTTCTGGAGTAGTACGGATTGTCCTAGACAGTACCAGAAGAGTCCGGAAGCATAGCTATGGTACACGAGCAGAGAGTCCCAAATATGGTAACATACTACATAAGCGACTACAGCTAAGCGCTAGGAGACGCATAGCCTCGTGTAGTCCGGACCGGATAAGTCCAAGTTCAACATGGAGTGTTGAACAGGCGCTGGTTTACACAGCTTGCCTAACACAGCCGTCACAAGATATGGAACGGCACAGCCGGTTAATGCAACAACCTATCCCCTGGAAACTGGAATCATGCCCCTTGATTCCGGGTTTTCGGCGGAACAAGGTCTGTAGCACCGCAACCAGGCCGTTTCACCTGGAACAAGCTGGTGCCCTAGGTGCCCCACGACCTAGCCCACAACCTCCCTTTGGTCTGGAGACGATTGCTTTAGCCGTCATAGAGCTAGACACCTTGTTCCACTTTTTCAGGTTTTGAAAATCTGAGTAGTTGGCCATTTGAGCAGAAACATGAAGCTTCATTCCCCACACATATTCGAAAGCATAGGAGGCATGTGAATTGTATGACTAGATACTATGTACAACAGAACAGATGTCCACTTCGGACTGCCGCCCTCGCCCTCGAACCAACAAAGGTCATGCGCGAATCAAAATGTCCGAAACCAAGTGTTCCCAATTTGAAGACTGGAGCTTCATGAAGACTTCATTTCACATACACGCTGGCTATATTCGCTCACTAGACTCGTACCGTCCTCTCCAACGGGTGTTGCTACGACTGCTGTCTCTAAAACCCCTGCCAGGTTCTTCTTGTCACCTCCTGTCGCTGTCACCGCTGCCTTGGCCTCGTCCAAGTCTGAACCGGGATCCACCTCGAGAGTCGCCTGCACCTGAACCGTCACTCATCGGTGCGCGCCGTTTCCTGTCATCATAGCACGTAGTCAGCTGTTGATTGTGTGTATCTGGACATTCTGTCATACCCTTGTCTGCGAGTGTTTGCTGCCACACGATCTGCTGTGGCATCTCCGTCACCTGACGCCGATATACCCACAGATCGTCCAAGCTCTAGTTCGCCTACGTACTCAACCTCTTGTACCATGCTCGCATCGATGTCTTCTCTGGATAGCCTAGGCTGGCTGGGACCGGGAGCCCTCATCTTCCCCTTCCCCAGTGGCTCTGTAGCCCCTTCTTGTGGTTCTTGCAGTTGTGCGAAGGCGTCTTCTTCGTCGTCCACGTCGATTACTTGGCGCGGTTTGTTGGGCACTATGGAGACGGTCAAATGATCCCGTGCGGCCTGAACGTAGGAATGCATCCGCCGCTTTGAGTTCCATCCGACGGCGGCTTGCCGTTCGAGTTCACGCATGCAACCGAGGCGGAACTGATTGCGTCCACCGCCATGGTGGTTGCTATATTCCATCTCGGGCGCAGGGAACCTGTCCGTACAGCTCGTTACAGCTCTTCCTGGCAGCGTAAGTTCAAGAGATAGAGAAACATGCCTTGCGCCAATATGATTCATGACCAATTTCTCCGCCGCGACGGCCCGCGCAAACGCACCGGCCATGGCGGGTGTGCTGTGGCCCCTCGATACCGCTTTCTCCGTAACACTCTCAGGCGTCCGATTCTTCCCAGTTCGCTGTTGTGGATCGATGTGAGGGGGGAGGTATGCGTCCGTGGCTTCGTGAACAAGTAACGATACGGGCACACGAACATGGACATCGTTACCATGAGGATTGAGGAGGGGGAGGACGGAGAAGTCAATATGAGGGGAAGACAAGGAAATGGGTACACGTGTCGGAACGGACACGTCCGAGGTGGACGCATTGGACTTGGTCGGAGCAGATGCATTCGCATCGGCATGAACCAGTGGTATGATTGAGGATGCGTCGTAGGTATCGCCCAGGATGACAAACTTGCGGGGCGTGGCGGAGGTAGGTGAGAGGGCGTCGCGAGGAATCTCGCGAATTACGTAGCCAATACATGGATCTGTAGTGAAGTGGACATGTTACCAGCAGCGACTATTGGCTAGGCTTAACAGCGAAGCGGTAAACAGACAGCGTACCTCGATGTTCGATTGGCCCCGCGTCCACGACTGCCCCCCAAAGGCAGTGCGCCTGCTTGGGCGACATGTCAACGAGTCCCCTCCAGAACCCCTGTTCATCGCACCAGATATCACGCCCCACACATTCGCTCTCGGAGCGGACGTCTACCTCGTCTACACTTTCCTGATTAGTGCGTACTTCCGCCGGAACGGAAGGCTGCTCTCCAGGAAAGAGAAGCTCGTGAACGACATAAGCGAATTCGGAATGGGTGTGCGTTATATGCCAGAGCATCCGCAGCATTCGACGAACGCCGCGCGGACCAAAGATCTCGACCCGCGGAGGACGTTTATTTGGAGGAGGGGCGTTTCTAGGTACAGCGCCTGGTGGCTTCGGTATCCCAAGGACAATACGCAGGAAGGTGAGGAGGCCCATAGTGTGGTCGGCTGTCATTTTGGTGAGTAGGAGACGAACGCCGAGGCTGGTAGCAACTGCTGAAAACCAGCGTCGAGTGCGAAAAGCCAGGCGACTGAGCACTAAGAACTGATATCCACGGAGAACGTAGAACAACATTGCATATATGCGCTGTTTTCGAGCTGCTAAGACCGTCTAACCATTCGGTATCTGGTCTGCTCGGGGTCAGGGGCAGGCTACCGCAACAAAGCATCCTACGAGGGAGGCTACACTGAGAGAAGCCGAAAACTCTCACAAACAAACAGAGCGAGTACCATCTGCGACCAGCAAAGAACGTGAACTACGGCAGCGTGCTCTATCTAGCCTGGTCTGCTAGATGCATTTGAAGCGCGGTGAGAACACACGACATTCAGAATTACGTTCGTTCCCGAACTTTACGGACAGGAGTATTCGGCGCCGCAGCACGCCCGAGGTTTTCGTTCCAGAAACGCGCAGTGCGCCAGCTCAGCCCGACGCATGAGAGCTGCACACAACCAGCTCGCCCATGGCGAACGCTACCCGCGGTATATGCAGTCAAGCATGGGGCGCGTAAAGGGACTCCAACAAAGGAACGCAGATATGAGCGCTCACCGTGCAAGTGTGTGATGAATATCTTCGTGACGTCCGTCATACGCAACCTCTGCTGCCCGGGACGATACGGTTGTTGTTCGAACTGACGTCTGGTCCCCTCCGCGCAGTCAATCACTGTGAGCAAACAATTAGCCAACCTGGGGACCTGTTCAAGCGCTTTGGGGCCGGGCGGGTTCGACGAACGCGAAGATATACCGGTACGCACTCCAAAGCTGTCCATTTCCAAACATGTCGACGACGAGGCTGGAACAGTTGCGTGTCTCTGTCGGGCCTCCGCCAGAAGTGGTGCCAAGGAAATGCACGGAAATATCGCGAGACATGAAGGCGCGCAGATATTTGTGGCGGCGAGGGGGGTACTGGTGTCGATAGGTAGGCGGCAGGTTTTCTGAGAATGGAAGAGCGTAGAGAAGCCGGGATGCGTGGACAAAAGACAAGTAATGCGGCGAAGTGCAAGGCACGGAACAATAACGTCCAAACCTTGCTGAGCTCGCCGTCGTCGAAGGCGTCTGCCCTTTCCCCGGTCCGGACCGGTCCCAGGGCGTGCACCGTATGCGCGCGACACGAGCGATGCACGCTCATTCACCCGCGGGATGCGTAGCATAGAGCAAAAGAGGTCCTACGATGCTAGTGCGTGCGCTACAGATACATTGCAGATCTCGCGGTAAGCTCAAGTAGGTGCCTACCAACCTCGGCCTGATCCTCGTGAGTAACTGTATCGACCCTACGCGAACAGACGCAAACCCTACCGTTCACAGATGCAACATCCGCCTCTCCCATTGCCACACCGCGTAGCTGATTGCAGTCATCGGTATCACCTTCAGATACCCGATCGTCAGCCCCACGTAAAACCCCTTCAACCCCTTCGACACCCAGATAGTCCGGACCGTCTCGCCCCACCGCATCCATCTATCTGGCTGCGTCAAGCCCCCGACCTGCATCCTCCTCCGGATCACCTCGAATGGGTAGGACACCGTCTGCGCAAGCACCCCAGACGCTGCTCCGATCGACAGGTCCGCGAGCGGCCCGCCTCCAATTTTCGATCCACCCTCACGGTAAGGAAAGAAGTGGGCACGTAGGAAGCCCCAGAAGAGGAAGGATGTGCCAGCGTAGGGAATCATGCCTATCGTAGTGACTGTGAAGCCGCGGTAGAACTTGAGAACGGGAAAGCGAGTGAAGAGGGAGGTCTTCACTTGGTCTGTCGCGATCACAGCAGACGAGGCGGAAGCGGCCGCGGACGGGGCGGGCTGAGGGGCTTCGTGGTATATTCGACGCATGGCGGACAGGAAGGAGGGTCGCTGTTGAGAGGGACCGGGAAATTTATGCGTTTCGAATGCCATACGAACTCGAATGAGCTCGAGAGGGTAGGTGAAGAACACGGACGTGATGCCTATACATCCGACGTACAGTAGTTGATTAAAACGCAAGTCGGTAGAGAGACAGAACGCGAGCACAGCATACCCGAGATGGCCCCGGCAGTGAAGCGGCGCAGGTTGGTCTGGCTCTCTCGCGTAGGCATGAGCAACTGGAGGGCTTCGATTCATTATGTGTCACCAGGTAGGGAAGAAAACTGACGACGTACTGCCTCGACTTGGTCATATGTCATGAACTTGATGGCTGCGTACGGAGCGATACGGAGTAGAGTAGCGGAATGGCCCTGGAGGAGACCTCGCATGCCGTTTTCGCGGTATATTTGGGAGACGGCGCGAAAGGCTCCGCTCCATGTGCCTGCACGTCGCATCGAGCATTCAGCGCGTTAGACGCAATCCGCCGCGAGGGGAGTAGACGTGAACATCACTCAAGACGTACCAGCATATTTCTGAAAGTCAGGATTGGACGCCTGGAAGAGGATCTTGACTCTGTCGAGAGGCGCGACGACGGTCTTTGCCTGCTCACACGACAGTCCGAGCAAACGCGTCAGCGAGCCAAACGAAGCACGGCGCGCGGCGCGCGGCACGCGCAAGGGGTACATGTGCGCCGCCAAAAGCAAGAAGGAGACATACCACACAGCCAGCGACACCACCTGCGAGACCGGAGCGAAGGACGTAGCTGAGGCTCTGCCTGTCTTTCGGAGATGCATCGGAGGACATTCGAATCAAGAAGCTCGAGCTTGGGCTAGTTCATACGGTCGTAACGAGTCCTCTCAGAACAATCGGTGTATAGTGTGCACGACAAATGGCAGTGTTGCGGACAGCGTGCGGGGAAGCAAGCAAGATGCGGGGCCCCAGAGACGGAGAAGGCAGAAAGGGAAGGGTTATGTACATAGCGCGCCTCGGAATTCGGAAAGTCGGACTCAGCCGCTCTCAACTTCTCCGAACACTCGCCCAAATGACGTCTCCCTCACGTGAGCTTTGTCTCGGCAAGTCGCGTTGCAACGGGCGCCTGGCGTCTTGACAGTTCAGCACATTCCTGTCTGCGCAAGCCCCTCGCGAGCAGAGCTCGTTTGCAGCTTTCCTTTCTACCATCAACTACTGCCACTCATTCGTCGCTCCCCTCAGTCTCAAATTCGTTATGGCTACCAAGGCAAAACCCTCCGAAGCCAAAGTCCCTGTACTCAAAGGGAAAGAAGGTTCGTGTGAAGGCACGTCCCATAACGCATATACTCACATGCCCATTGGCTGGCGGCATCAGCCGAGGACAAAGTCCTCGAGTACATGAAAAAGGTATCGATCCGCAGCATATGTCCTATTCAGTGGACCGTGGCTGACGAAGTACCCGTCAGATGAATCGTCCCTTCGGAGCCGTCGATGTCTCCGCAAACCTCAAGGGCTCCGTCCCGAAGGCTGCTGCTCAGAAGATTCTCGTCTCTCTCTCTGAGCGCGGAGAACTTGTTCAGAAGACGTGTGGTGCGTGTTTTCAATTATCGCAGGTCCGGATCGTGTGTGGGTTAGCCTCGAAGATTCGATGTGGCTCCGAAAGGCGAAGTAATCATCCGACTGCGCCTCGAAACGTCATAAATTGTCGTGCCCCATTCTCGTTCCGCATGGGCAGTGCAGATGGCATGGAATTCCCCTGTCAATTACACTTCGACTGCGCCTTGCTTCTGTGGCTTCGGTCGTAAACATTGCGGTCGTATATATACCATTTGCCGGAGTACCGTCTACCGATGCGCTATTGACTAGCTCCGTCTGATGCCACAATGAGGGTGCATACAGCTTACGGACGCAATCCTCCCGTTGTCATCTCTGCAGCTGCATACATTCTCTGCGGTTGTTAGGTCATCTCACACACATACACATATATGCATTTGGCTGAGAGACATTCACTCGAAGTCATGATTGCAAGTGCGGTGATAATCGCGAACCCACCGTCATGCGCTATATGGCGTTGTCGTATACATGACTCCGACACTGGGCGCGCCGCAATCGCGGTTGTCAGCATGACGGAGAAACAGCCGTCCGCAGATCAGAGTCGTGGCTGAATCGCTTCACGCTCAGACTGGCGATACGGAGTCTTGAGGCGACTCGCTTACGGGGGTTGCGTGCATACCATTAGGCAAAACCACATTCTTTGTCGCCAATCAGGCTAATTTGGAGGATATGCCTACTGAGAAGCTGGCGGCGCTGGAAAGTGAATACAAGAATATGGACGAAAATAACAAGCAGCTTGTTGTGGAAACGAAGATGTTCAGTACCGGTACGTCCCACGACTGACTTTTTGGAGATGAACACGCCTGCAGAAAACTCATGATGCTGGATTTCGACATGGGCAGAGGTCAACAGATTGAGAAGCACGCCCACAGACAAGGAGCTGGCCAGCGAGATCGTGAAGGTTGCGGATGCGGTACGTAGGCCCTGAGCTGCTGCGTACGATGCTCGTCCGTATCGGAAATCGTCTCGGCCCTCGAATTGGTAACCATCATGTCTGAGGAGCATACTGTCGCCGGCACTCGGTCTCCACCCTGATTGACTTGTGTGGAGACCCACTGCAATACTCACACGTTGGGTCTTGGCAGATTGAGAAGGCGCAAGCGCACCTGGAGCCTCTACGCGCAGGTACACGCCTGGTATCAGCGGAAGAGACTGCGCAGTTAGACTCGGAGTGGACGCGGTGGCGAAATGAATGGACCCGTCGCCGGAAGATCTTTTTGACGTACGTGATTGGTCCCTTTCATGCATCTCTCGAGGGACGCAGTCATCTGACAATGAACAACTTGAACAGGTTCTGGTCCCTGGTCACGGACACGCTCACGCCCCAGCAGGCGACGGAGCTAGGGGGTGACCTAGGAATAGAACACGACACAGCCGAGCACGGAGTCCTCGAGAAGGGGGCGCTTTGCTCGACGGGAAGCGTGCTGGGGAAGAGACGAAGATGAGAGATGTGTTGTGTCGGGCGAGGCGTTGAGACACGTGAATATACTCGTGATTGGACTCGGTCTGTGGACTGGTCTGTGGACTGGCCATTGGCGTTCTGTTCGACGTTCTGCAGGCAGTGTGAACAAGGCGAGGCCGTTGACCGGTCCACGTGTGGGTGGGAGGGGGCTGGAGAGGACGTCGCGAGGTAGGCGGCTATTTTCGGAGTGCGAAAGGCCCATGGGATATTTATGTTGAGCTCGACCGTTCGACGACGTTCGACTGCGGCCAACGTCTTCCTCTCCCCATCCCTCCTCGTCCTCTCCTTCCACTGTCCTCGCGACTGTGCCCTCCATGTCGTATCTCGCTCTTTCAACGTTTCTTGCCCTCGCCGCCGCCCCCTTAGGCGTCGTCGCCCAGAGTGCCACCTCTTCTTCCTTTACGCCCCTCGCCTCAAAGCACTTCTCCTACCCCTCTGGCATCGTAAGTATCTCCTCTTCCTTCTGGACAGCCACAACATCCTGCCGCCTCCGTTTACGCGGCTGCATCAATTCGAAGCACCATGGCGTATTACGTGACGCCAGCGCCGCCTTCGAACTTTGATCCCTGATCCTCTCTTCCTTCCACAGCCGTACCAAGCCGATCCCGACGACGGTGTTCGTGGCACACAGCAGGGTTACAACCTTTGCAACTCTACCACCGAGGGCCCCAATTCCCTCTGCCAGACTGCGTTCATCAATCATGCCGATGATTGGTGTGTTTGGGCGCCTCCCATCCCCAACTCCACCATCGGAGACACTGAGGGTGAAGAGGTCGCCTGGTGCACAAAGAAGGGCCGTGGTACCCGTATCATACCCGCTGGTGCCATCACCGGCCTTCAGTTCATGAAGACTCCCGGCTACCTCCAAATTGTTGGCTTCATCGACCAGACCCAGATCAACATTGCCGCCGACGACGGTGGAGGCGAGCTCGATCCCCACGGTGCTGATCTCGTGAGTATTCCCGTTGCTGTATGCGTGCATCCCTTTCTCATTTCGCGTCTAGCGTGGCAATCCGCTTGGTGGTCTCGTGTACTCGAACGGCTTTCCTAGCAACGGCGGGAACAACAACAGCTTCCAACAGGTGATCGAGTGGCACAAGTATGTATATCCTGGCGTTCGACGCACTGCGCAGTAGCTCATCAGAAGCATAGTTTCATGGGATCGGACCAGTTTTGCTTCAAGGTTTGCGACCCTGCTGGGTCGAATGCGGCCAACCTGTGTCAGCACATCTTTGACCGTATTGGTGTCGCGTACAACTGCCCAAATGCGGCCCAGAACGGCACATTTGAGTCCTGCGAAGGCGACAACCAGGACCCTCCTGGTGTCTACACGACCAACGGCCAGGTCGTCACTTACAGCCAACCTCCTGAATCCCTTGGCCCGATTACGTCGTTGCCGTACACCCCGAAGATCCCGGCGTCCTCGAACTGTGTCCAGTTCGCGTCGTCCGCGCTCTTCACGGACCTCGCTAGTACGACCACTTCTGGCTCCGGCTCAGCGACCGCGACTGGTAGCGGCGCTGGTGCCACATCTACTGGTGCTTCCGCTAGTCGCTCCGGCTCTTCGAGTTCGTCAGCTGCTACTGGTAGCTCGTCAAACAATGGCGCTGCAACGATGTGCATCTCGATCTTGTCGACGATTGGAGGTGTACTCGCCGCTGTCGCCTTCCTTTCTTGACGGCGTCAACTGTTGTCATTCACGATTCTCATGACTGGACTTTCAAGGACCTCTGTATGTACGCCTTAGGGAGGGTTGTAGTGACCACTAGTAGGGCTACGCTCGCAGCCGTTACTATCAGTCCTGAAGCACGATCGTTGTATTCGTCGAACTGTCACATTACACTAACTATAGCGCACGGACTACTTATTCCTCGCCTCTTGGCTTTTCTAGTTGCCAGGAAATATACCGTCAACTCAGTCTAGTAATACGATTTCCGTGAGCACTCACGGCGACGATGTTATGCGGCCTTGTCTAGGTGGAGCTCGGAATGAAGAAAGCCTGAAACGAAGGCCTGAAACTTAAGACTTGTGTGGGTGGGCAACGTCGTGTATACGAACAATCGCCCGTGGTCGCCTGCCAATTTATGGAGTGGTTGTGTCGCGTGCTTGTTTGTCCGAATGCAGCCGGGTTCAGGGGCCTGAGCTCGTGTTCACAACCCAAGTCGGTGCAATACCGCGTGGAGTTGATGTCGGAGAGTCTACTCGGATGTAGCAGTCGGCTGCGAACGTGCGCGACTGCCTGCTAAGTACCGGAGGGCGATGTACCTGGAGGTGAAACAAGGGACAGATCATGGGTGAGACGCGAGGCATCAGCTTGCGGCCTGGGGGACATGGATGGCAAAGCAATGAACATGGGCTAAAACGGAGCCGTGCACTGCGGGCAGACGGGCCAAGGCCATGGACGGCTTCGATCAGCTCGAGTCCGCGTCTGCGCCTTCCATATCCGCCCACAGCCGCTACCCCATCCGCTCCTACTTACACACCACATCCACCTCGTCTCCGCTCGACGTCCCCCCCTTCTCTCTTTTGTCCGTCCACGCCTCCTGTCACTCCACACGCTCACTGCACCTCCTTACCATCTGTACGATCATCAATACACCATCATGGCCCCGGCCCCGAAGGCCAAAGCCCTCAAGATCGGAAGGGCCCTCAAGAGGCTTCCCGCGCGCGTCGCGTCGGGCGGGAGGGGAAATAGCAATACGTTTGCGCCCTTGCCGGGCGAGGTGCCTATCGTCATGCTCAGAGTCCAGGTCCTCAGCTGCACCAATTTGCTCTCAAAGGATCGGAATGGCTTCAGTGACCCGTGAGTTCTATATCTCCCTGTCCCCTGTCCCGCAATGCTCATCTATCTATTGGTCGGTCTGAATACCATAGTTTCGTAGTTGTCTCCCTCCTCGGAAACCGTCACCACACTTCTGTTGCGAAGCGCACCGTCAACCCCACGTACAGCCCTAAGGATGCGACCTTCGACTTCCCCATCCATCTCTCCCTCGCGGACAAGCTCGGGGTCGTCGAGCTTGTCGTATGGGACAAAGACGTACTCAAGAAAGATTACCTAGGAGAGGCGTGGATACCTTTGGAGGACTGGTTCCGGGACGGGAGCGCATACGCCTTCGATGATATGAACAACAAGGTGCGTACGCATTGATATTGACTATTGGAGATTGCGATTGCGAATGTTCATCGCGCGGGTTTGCAAAGCTTATATCGAGGAATCTGGTGTCAACCCGTAACTCGACACAGGCTACTGGCAACATCCAAGTCAAGCTCGGCTTCGTGCCGCCCGCGAATACGGCCACCCTCATGGACTTCGGCGAAATTTACTCTGAACTTGTCAAGAGGACGCGCCCGAGCCTCGTTTCGGCTCCTCCGGTGCGTTCACATTACCTGCCGCATGCATGTATGCGCGGGGCGCGCGCGAGGCCGTCGAGCTGACTCGTCGCGTGCCACATCATAACGACAGACGGAAGGCATTGGCACCATCCGCTCGAATCAGGACGGTCCGGCGTACCAAGATGATGGCCTTAGCTCAGACGACGAGGGGGACAGCGAAGAGGAGGGCGAAGAGGAGTCCCCACCCGGGAGTCACCTCGCCAACCTCTACATTCCGCCCTCGCAGATTTATACCGCCGAGCCTGAGCAGGCTCCCCCACCACCGTCGTCCGCTTCCGCTGTGGAAACGCCCGTGACTCCTACTCCTGCCGCCGTTCAGAAGACGCCGCAAGCTTCCAAGCCGGCGTCGCCTGGGTTCAAGATCCCAAGCATGTTCCCGAAGAGGTCCAGCACCGCGCGCTCCCTCTCTGTTGACTCTGTCACGACGATTACGACTAACCCATCCGGAGGATCAGGAACGACGACTGCGGCGAGCAGCACAGGAGTTCTTACTGCTCCCAGCTCAGGCGCGACTACGCCTCTCACCTCTGGTACGGCCCCCGGGGCGGTCGCTCGCCCGCCAATGTCGCAGCAGAAGTCGAAGTTCCGAAAGTCCTGGATCGCGAGGAACAAGGACTTCAACTTCAGCGCCGCGAATGACATCATGGGCATCGTAATGCTTGAGATCCAGGGCGCCAAGGATCTGCCAAAACTGAAGAACAGTACGTGTACTAATTTGACGGTCTATCCAAATGTGCACCACCTGACACGGACGGGCGCTGACGGCTTGATTATCTAGTGACGCGCATGGGCTGGGACATGGACCCCTTCGTGGTCGTATCGTTTGGTAAGAAGGTCTTCCGAACGCGCGTCATTCGCCACTCGTTGAACCCTCAGTGGGACGAGAAGATGCTGTTCCATGTCCGGCGATACGAGACCACGTTCAAAGTGCAGCTCACCGTGCTCGATTGGGACAAGCTGTCTTCGAACGACCATGTCGGCGACGCGTCTTTTGATGTTGCGAAGCTGCTTGCGGACGCACCCAAGAAGGATGAGAACACGGGATTGTACCCAGATGAGGAGGACGGCAGGCGGTCCATGACGGACTTCACACTGCCGCTCTCCACTGCGAAGGAGATGCCCTGGGAGGCAAAGCACAACCCGACAATCTCCATCAGGTATGCTGAATACGTCTTGCTCCAGCCTATACAATACTCAAGAAAGCGCTCAGAGCAAAATATCAGCCATACGACGCGCTTCGCCAGAAGTTCTGGCGCGTGTATCTCAAGCAATATGACACCGATGATACCGGCACCATCTCCCATCTCGAACTCACCTCCATGCTGGATTCTTTAGGCTCCACCCTTTCTCACGATACCGTCAACTCGTTCTGGACACGTTTCAACAAGCGTCCTCAAGAAGACGTGCTCAGTATCAACGAGGCCATCCAGTGCCTCGAGACCGAATTGTGTCGGCCTGCGAGCGAGAAGAAACGCATTGATCCGGACGAGGGCATCATGGATACGTCCGCTCCTGTCACACCTGCAGTCATGAGCGGGTTGCAGGCGCAGCAGAACGTGGATTTCGACCAACTTGACTTCTCTGGCGTCCCGTCCAACCATGCCGCGCTCAGCAGCGAACGAGAGCCAGCAGATAACCTCCCGAACGCTCTCCCCGCTCATCCCACAGAGCCAATGCAACAGCCTCTCGATGCCGCCGCCCAGGGCTTGTCTACTACGCCACCAAACCGCCCCCCATATATCAGGTCGAACGCCTCCTCAGACGCAGAGGAATCGTCCAATGGGTCAAACGGGTCACCCGACCCATTCGTCGAGCGTGTCATCAACATCAAGAATTGCCCATTGTGCCATCGCCCTCGGATGAACTCTAAGGCTGAAGTCGACATCGTGACCCATCTGGCAGTATGCGCGAGTCAGGACTGGGCGCGAGTTGACAAGATCGTTGTGGGAAATTACGTTACGGCGAACCAAGCCCAACGGAAGTGGTATACTAAGGTCATATCGAAGGTCTCTGCAGGCAACTATAAGCTTGGCGCGGTACGTGCTCCTAACGGGATGGCTTCGAGACGTCGGACTGATCCGTCTCTGTCGCAGAACTCAGCGAACATTATCGTCCAGAACCGCCTGACAGGTCAGCTTGAGGAAGAGAAGATGCAGGTGTACGTCCGATTGGGAATACGCCTGCTCTACAAGGGCTGGAAGAGTCGGATGGAAGGTGCACGAGGTATGTCGCAGCGCCTTCGGAGCGCGCCTCCATTGACGTATGAGACTGCAACAGCACGCCGGCTCCTCAAATCGCTTTCCATCAAGCAGGGTCTCAAGTATGACTCGCCTGAGTCCGCACGCGATATTCCCGCGTTCATAGCGTTCCACAAGCTCAATATCGACGAAATCCTCGATCCGCTCGACTCATTCAGTACGTACGACCGTAGCAGTCTAGTGTTTGTTGTCTCATAGAGCACACTTCTTATCGTAGAGACCTTCAACGAGTTCTTTTACAGGTAATTTATGTGGGCGATTTGATAGTAATGGCTATCTGATGACATGGCGACTACGACAGGAAACTAAAACCTGGCGCGCGCCCTGTGGAATGCCCCGATGATCCCTACCGTCTAGTGAGCGGTGCTGACTGCCGCCTCATGGTATTCGCGACCGTCAGCGAGGCGACAAAGCTGTGGATCAAGGGTCGCGACTTCTCCGTCGCCCGACTGCTCGGTGACGCATACCGCAACGAGGCTGAGAAGTACAACGGGGGCGCACTGTGCATCTTCCGACTCGCCCCGCAAGACTATCACCGCTTCCACGTCCCTGTTGATGGAAAAATTGGCCCCATGACGTACATCACTGGCGAGTACTATACTGTCAATGTAAGGCTCTTAACAGCGTCCCGTTCGCGTGTACTGAATCTTTACTGTAACCCAGCCGCAAGCCATCCGAACGGCGTTGGACGTGTATGGCGAGAATGTCCGCAAGATCGTCCCGATAGATAGCCCTCAATTCGGTCGCGTCATGTGCGTATGTATCGGCGCGATGATGGTCGGAAGTATCTATACCACAGTGAAGGAGGGCGACTACGTTAAGCGAGGAGATGAGTTTGGTTACTTCGCCTTCGGTACGTATATCATATCTACATCCAGTGCGGTCGCTCATCCATTATCATTACTTCCAGGTGGCTCAACAATTGTTGTGCTATTCGAGAAAGGTGTCGTGGAATGGGACGAAGATCTGCTTATCAATAGTAGAGCATGCCTGGAGACGTTGGTGCGTGTGGGTATGGGTTTGGGGCGTAGTAAACGCAAACTAGTCACGGACGGCAATGGCTCGCAGTAATATCACAAATTCATTGTATACCAGTAGTACTGTACGGTCCTAGCTTTCTGTGTCACTCCGTATCGTCGTCGAGAAGGCATTTAGGCTCAGCGCTGATACTTCATCGTCTTCAATGCCATAGGGATGCGCATCATTGCTAACCATTGCAGTGCTGTCAGCAAGTTGCGGGTGGCATCTGGTTCTTCGTCCGAAACGTACCTGGGAGCTGGTTCATATACTGTTGAACTGAGTAATGGAAGACGTTTTCACGGCCGATTGTCGCCTACGGACAAGCCTGGTTCGTCTTGTTCTTTTGAAATGAACGTACAATGCGTAAGGAAAGCAGCAGGTACCTCACACGTGCCTGCTAAGATCTCTTCGAGGAGCCTATATCCTATTCATTCGCTGGCTCCTTGTGATGGAACATGATTGCCATAGTACAAACAACAATCCTACGATGACCCCGGCGATACCCAGCACACCCAAACCAATGGCTTCCACAATTAGCCCGTCAACACCTCTGTATACCGTGGCATGGTGGAATAGCGCCATCCCAATGGATAGGGCGAACACGCCCGAGAAGAGGGCCCCCACAGCAGCGAGTCTCCCGACCCAATCCTCCAGTATGAATCTGATGGCTGGGACTCCATGCGCATCAGGCGAGAACCTTGCACGCGATCCAGCAATTGCCCCGAAAATGGCGCCGAATGCCAGTGATGTGAATGCGCCGACAAGGCTCAGGTACCAAAACGGAGGATGGTCCTTGATTGTGACTCCCCACCTGAGCGCCATAAGCCCTAGCCAGGATGGAATGAGGGTGCAGGACAGCGTGACGATGACGGGGATAAGGAAGCAAGGTAGGGAATGAATAGATGTTGGGATACACGAACGGCTTCCCTCGCGTTGCCTGGAAGGAGGATTGTCGGATGACAGGACTTTGTACTCTGGGACTGCCTCTTGAAGCGTACTAGGTGTCCGTTGAGAGTCGGATCTATGAATATCGCTATCGAATCAGTTCATGGTGAATCGATCTCCTTTGGAGAATTGGTGCGTCCAAGACTTACGAGAAGTAATCAACGCCCGAAGAACTGTCCAATTCCTGACGGGTTGCTGAATATGAGCTTGCGTAGTGATGGTGGGGTTGGATGCGCGACAGGAGGAAGGTTCTATGGCCAGTTGTAAGAGGTGTATGCGCTGGAGCAGGCACTATACATGCTCTAGTGGGCAAGGTCTGATCACTCGCCTCGCTAGCAGGTGGTGGCGCTGTAAGAAGTGGCATGCTGAGGAGTGCTCGAATAGAATAGTTCGATGCGGAAGTGCACCTCACCTTTATGACAGGAGACACGAACAACGAAGCGAACGTGGCTATTGTCATCTGTGGGCTGAGGATACCGCGCCAGCGCCCTGCCGCAACGCTCATACAGTACTCGGCGCAACCGATGAATGAACGACATCAGCCCTTTGTTTATACTAGTAGGAGTAGCAGGATTATGAGCTCACCATAAAGCTCACCAAATCGAATTCTTCACGTTTGAATCATTGTGATTGGATACAGTGAACAGCTGCTGCGTCACCGCGACCCACGACAGCGATGAGTTTCGAACAGGAGGTCCTTGCTACCGCGTCGTGTACGATTATACCAACTCAAGTGCACAAACTTACTCACCATATTCCTGGCTCATATATGTATCGTTGGCCAACTCGAAGCTTTAGGTTCCAAGGAGACGGTGGCGCCGCTCATTCAACTTCGGTTAGCTAGCGAATATTGGTGGACATGGTATATCCCAAGGTGTAAAACGCTGTATTTGGTGAGGAGTATTCAATAAGGAAGACTGTGTACCCAGGCGGAGGACATGAATGATATCCAGAGTCAGCGTTGAGATCTTGAGACTGAACCGAAAAACCGCGGATGATGCTGTCGGGCGCCAATGAAATTCACAACAATTCGACTAACGCCTACTGCAGTCTACGACGTCAGGTCTCAAAAAGCCCAGAACACGCCCCTCCAAAACGCAGTGTAGTGACATACAATAGCCTGATGCCACATTCATGCACTTTAAAGCAGAGATACACATAGAACGTCACATCCCAGTCATACAATAGTGGAGAAGACAACCAAGGGGAGCGCCGACTCCTGTTGCACCCAGCATAAGGGCATCCTTCGGTCCAGATGACTCCATTTCAAACCATCGCGTCGCCATGTACCCAGCGGCATGAAGAACATACTGCATGGAGAACACCCAACTATCACCACACATACAGCGGTGCCGTATGATGACCAAGATGCACGCGATCGCACCAAGGGCAGCAACCATGACAATCGCGCCGGCCAGGAGAGCCCTCAACTCGCCGAAGTCCTTAGAAGGAAGTACGAATGTGGGGGCTAGGGCGAGGATGCTAAGGGCGCTGGCCAAGGAGCTTGAGATGAGTGCTATAGGCATTCTAAACAATAAGTAGGAGGAGAGCAATCATCTGATATATCCGAAGGGCGTCGTTCACGGAAACCTGTGGCGATTGGCAGAAAGGCGGAGACCAGAGAACCGGAGATCAGGCATCTCGGTGGACTCTCGAGACATAGACAGGCGAGCGTGAGCTAAGCGTCGCGAGGATGCTAGATGGCATCCCATGACGAGTCCGTGTGCGTCTCTTATAATCGGATGTCAAGGGTGCACAGAGCCTGCAAGAAATCATCGACGAGGCGGCCCTCGCGCATACGCAATTTTCCTTGCGTACTGTATGGTACAATAGACACGCAGCCAGACGCCACGCGCTGTCCATCAGAGAGAAAACGCATGACAACAAATGTCAGGAAAGCGTCAGTAATCCTGAGAGAAGGATGCGACGAAACCCGCTCTTGCAGCCTCCTCCCATGATAGGGATCGCGGATCCCTGGGGCCATGGTCGATCTGGTGGTATTGTGCGAGTAATAGACCATTCAGTGTCACATCACAAGCCTATGCGTACTCTTTCGTCTCCCGAGAAAGTCTTCGTTACTCTGTGCTTCTGAAAAAAACATCATAGCAGAAATAAACACATCTTCCCAGTATTGATACAATCACGATCCAATGAAATACAGAACACTGAAAATGAAAAGCGGGATCCCCGCAATAATCGTCCCCAAGCTCCCCGCTGCCAGGGCTTGAATCGCGCGCAGCCCCTCCGGTGCGAGGTCCCCAGGTACAACCAAGATCCCCACGCTTGCCGCAACCGCGCTCGATGTGATGATGCCTAGCGAGAGTGTTCCCCACAGCGCCCAGTCTCCAGCATCCGAATTGTCTTGGTGACGACGCTCAGCCAGCACGACTGCCCCGACAGTGATGAACACGACAAGTGTGTCCACGATCGCGCTGCCTGCGAGTACGACACGTGCGAAGGCGGGCGAGATGGTGTCATTGTAGTAAATCGTCGCTATGGATGTTTTGTAGTGGAGGATGCGTCCACCAACGTAGACGGACGCGACGTTCAGGCCGAATGAGAAAGCAACGCCAAACGCGAAGAAGAACACGAAGCCTATCAAGAGAAGCGCGAAGAAGCCTAACTCCTCCCAATCCAACGACGACGTGATCTTGTTCCATATGCGACGGGCGATGCTATGCCGCTTGGGCTCGGTCTCATGGGCTCGATCCAATTCGATGCCGGGGAAAGGAGTGTTGATGAGGGGGCTCAGGGAGCGGCGTGTGGCTGGAATGGGGGAATATTGGGGGAGCTCTGAACGCAGCCTGGGGCTTGAACTCGGAGATTCCCCAGCATGAGGCGAGAAGGGAGCCATTCAGTGTCTGCTGTGGGGTTAATGGCTAGGAAGCTGGAAGGGCTGCACGAACGAGGTGGGACTTTATACGGTAGAGCGCTTGGACCAACGACTAGTTGGTTGGCTGTGATGCACAGCCTCCCTGACAAGCTGCCAGTGCCAGGTACATGGACAAGGCACCTGGCACAAACACGAGAATAGGTCGGCTTCACGCAAAGCCCATCTCCTCGTTCTCGGGCGAACGGGAGAAGCAACAGAAGACGTTAGACAATAGCTTCGAGGCAACGTCCACGAGACAATAAATGGCGTACAGCAGCACGACAACGGCTATACAAACAGCACATCCAGTGCCACTTGCCTCCATTGCCGCCACTGATGTAAGTCCAGATATCGCGATATGGTGGTTTTGGAGCACGGCCACTCCGACTGAGGATGCGAAAGCACTCGCTAGCGTGAAACCCAAGGAGATCGCGATCGCGACGAAGGGACCCGGCATAGTCAACGCAGCCCGCGCAACAACTACACCCATCGGTAGACTGAGGATAGGACCTCCGACGAGCACAGGAAGTAAGCTAGGCTGTGTGCTGGTAGGGTCCCTGTAGATAGCGGAGATTTGTGCGAGAATGAGGCTCCCAAGGAATGCGAAAAACGACCCTGCTCCGATAGCACAAATACAAGCACTCACGACTATCCCAAGTATACAGGTGACATACTTCGAACGTGATGGAGGATCGGTGGTGCTAATTCGCAGGGGAGATCTGTGAGTTTCTGGGGGGGAGACGTGATAGAGAACGTGGACTTGAGGGGGTTGGGCGAGAGAGGGACTGGGACGAGGTCTGGTGATAAGGGAGCCTTCATCGTGGATTTGCAGGATCTGTAGGATATTCTCGGAAGCTTGGAAGGGAACTGCCCCTCAAGCCCATCTGGGAGCACGTCCCTATATGCCGAATGCACCTGACCTCCTCCCGACAGCTTCACCATCAGCCCTTTTGTCGTCGATGTGGCCAAGATGACATGGACATCTCATCATGTAAAGGATGACTCACCTCACCGGTTGTCACTTCCACTCGCCAACAACCCAGCACAATCAGCCCCCCGCTGCCCTGCAGCGCCAGGGCAGAAAGCGCTATACGAACGAAATCTCATCAACGCGTCGTACTCGGATCATATTCGCAAATAATCCATATCCAGGATGCAGATAGCATTGTCAGAGGCGAGAGCGAGCAGAAGATGTACTACGGAGGAACCATACATCCTGGACGTCGCAAAGCCACAACCCTCAAAGAGGCGTCTGTTTTCGTTCACACAGTCCCGAGCGCCGAACGATTCCGCATTTGCTTGTCAGCATACGCGGACCGCGAGTTCCTCCTATACGACGTATACACGGCGACGAAACTGGCTTGCCATATTCCTTGTGCTTTTATTCCAGGCTGAGGCCGTTCCTGGCATAGATATTGCGTATGGAGGCAGGTCCTAGGGCCACTCATAATCTGCTTTCCTGGGTCTTGTAGTGTCGTTGTCTTGAAATGAAACCCAAAGCGACGTAGCTGAGGCTGCTGAGCTGAATTGAGTGGCAAGGTGACTGTAGCCTCGCATTTCGACACGTCTCCCTGCCAAAATGAGCGCCTCGCCGCCCCTCTGCATCCGCAGTTCTCGCCCGTCGTTCTTGTCCACATTGCACAATACAGCCGGTTTCAGCTCGCTTGTCGTGAGAGCGCCGCGCCGCATCTCACGCATTTGCCTGTTTTCCCCTCCTAAGCGCCCCCAAAGGAACTTCGGACGACGATATCTCCTCGACAGCTCAATGTAACCACTTCATTCTTGCGTATTCTGGCTCAGGACTACGACGCGTAGGGCACGGTACTGGTTTCAAGTTAGCAACTCGTTTAACGGACCATCCACCTGCTTTCAGTCGATTTCACGCCGTCTTCTGCATCCATCGCACATATCTCCTTGAACATCACATGGAGATACCTGGAGGGCTCACTGGAAGCCGTTGGCGGATGATACGGAGGGCATATGGTGCAGAAGAGGTCCATGATGTACGTTTTCTCCATTCTGCGAAGGGTTCTGGCGCATGCCTAGTATACCACTCTGTCGTATATCGTCAAATCCAACACATCTTTGCTACCAAACATGTCACATATGTCCACTGTAAGCCTACAAACCCATGTAATTGTGCCGGTTACCAATTGTAGTGTTCTACAAGCTCTCCTTTGCAGCTCCAATCTACCCACCTCGTCTGTTCCTCCCTCCTACTCAACAGTGACTACATGGCCCCAAAGGCCTTGCAAGACCACAGAGATTATGGAGGTGCAGATTACTCACAAAGTCATGGTGTCTGGTGCTCCCCGACGAGGACTTTGAGCTGGCCCAAGAGGGCAGCCACCCGAGCCCACCCTATGGTGGACGTGATTGTCGCTGGACACTCCGCCTTTTGAGACAGAGCCCTCGGTAGCGTCCTGTCTTCACCATTCCGACAATTTCCGGGAGAGTACGCCATACCATTCAGCTAACAACGCTGTCCGAGTCCAGTAGGGAGCTGGAAGAGCGGGATTGCCCAGAAGTTGGTGACGTCGAGTTGGCG